GTCCGGGCTGGGGATTCGAACCCGCCACCTTAGGTGTACGTGGCTGGCGCCTTAGCCGGTTGAGCCACAGGCGCCGAGCCAGTAGTAATTATCTTAATGTGCTTGCAAATAAGTTTTCTAGCATTTTGCTTTATTAGCAATATTTCCACTAAGTGCAATTACATGGAAGAAAATTTTTAAAAGGGTCATTGCTTTATCTAACAAAAATAAACATCAAATTTTAGCCCTGAAAATATACAAATAATTTTATACACATAATCCTAAAAGTACATTCTTCAGAAGGTATCAGATACACATAATGTTAACAGTGTAACAGCTTACCTCAGGAGGAAACTATTTTTCTTTCTGTATCCTTGCTTATTAGAATAAGTATATATCAATTCTACATTTTAAAATATGAAATAAAGTTCTTTAACTTTATAGTGATAACAAAGGTATAGCAAATAAAAGTAAAAAAGCTACAACAAATAAGTCAATTTTAAATAGTCTTTTATGAGCATTAAAACTGCACTAATACACAATGTAAAACAGAAACCACAAAACAAATTCACAACACTTTCAAAGATTAATGTACTTGGGTTCTTTGAGGGTGAAAGGGGAAGTTACAAAATTAAGGTAAACGATTTAATGATTCACAGATGTTAAAAGTTAAAGTTCTCAAGAATTTTAGTTCTCTAAAGACAAAATGTTGTAACTAGATTAAGTAAAATTTAAATCCAAGATGTACCATTCAGAAATTCCTTTAACAAAAGAAGCAACTACCTGAGAGGACGTCTGATAAATCAATTTCATCTGACTGAACACCAATGCTGCTGTTATATACATTTTTACAAGAAGAGCCATTCATCTCCAAATCAAAGAGGACTGGATCAAATGGTGAGCTATACAATCCATATCTGAAAAATAAAATAAGGTACTAACAATTTTCCTGTTAGCTGCCTAATCAGTAAATTCATATTTACTTCACTTTAAAAGTAATTCGACTAACAGGGCAGGAAGGGACACTAACCAGATTTAAACCATCAAATTCAGTGAATTTCAACTATGTTCTTTGCAATCGATACTTTAAAAGACACTGTCCAGAGACTTAGCAAATGTTGAGTTCAGTAAGCTGACAGCTAATGTACCCGCATATTGAAGCAAGGAAGAGCTGATCAGGTATCCTCTCTTCCCTTCATCACTACAAGGACACAGGGGCTTGGAATAAAATCTCATCAAAATGAAAATTTGTAATCTAAAAAGATTAGAAAAATCACTGCTCTAAGTAAAGGGATGCTTAGTTCAAATGTTGAAGAACAAGCAAAATCTCAAATCTACCCTTTTACTATTTCTTAATTCATCATGTAAAAGTTTGGGAAACAAAAAGCAAATGGAGAAACACAAGCTAAGGGCCACAGGTAATTTATACAATTTTACCTATAAAGCTATAACAAAAAGAAAATCACATTAAATTCTCCCATTAGCAAGGAATACTACTGTTAAGAAGGAAATATAATTAATTAGCTCTCTCAATAATCAGCTTCAGGGTTTCTCAAACTCTTAAAGGGAATAATTTCAGAGAAAATTAGGGAAAGGAAAACCCCAGACTAATATCATTTGGTAAAAGGTAAAACATAAATACTTTGGCAAGAAAAATAGTGTTATCAATGTATATGTTAAATAATAGTTTTGTGCAAAGGTGGTAACATATCCAGAAAAACCCATTATTAGTCACTGCATATACTAAAATACCTTGTTTGAAGTAAAGCCTCCAATGGTGTTAGCCTGTCCTGTAACTGTCTGGACACAGCAGTAAGCAAAGACGCACAAGCTGTACTGCACCCAGCTAAATCTTCATCTTTAACATAATTCAGTAAGACAAAATACCAATAGACAGAACCTGGAAACGACAAAAATAAACGGGTTTTTCTTCCTCCTTTTTCTCTGACAAGGAGACCTAACATTACATATTTATCAGTGTAACTCCTTTTGCTAGAAAGAGACCTCCTTTTACTAGGAAGAAAATCTTTTAGGGCAGCTTACAAAGAAGGACCTCGTCCTTGTAGGGATCAAAGAGGACAATAACACTGACAACATAAACCACACCCTGAGGCTCGGTCTAACACTAAGAATTTCAAATACATCTTTTGAGAGGCTTATCAAGTCAACATAGGCATTAACTGTAAAATAATGTGAGATGACTCTAAGGGACATTTTAGAATAGCCAAAAAAGTAAAGGCATTACTAGTCATTCAAGCTATCTTTCCTGCAATGTCGTTTCTCTGTAATAAAATTTTCAAACACAGTGGATAGCAATGAGCTTCAAATAGCACAATGCATGCAATACAGGTATATGGCTGCCGAGTGAATGTAATATAGTTATTCTACACTGCCAGTTGAATACAGACCAATATGGCTTAAAAGAAGATCACTTCCATCTCATATGGTTCAGTGAAAAAATAAATAAAATTGTTGCATCTCATAAGGCTCAGTGAAATAAATAAAATTAAAAAAGATCATGACGGTGTATTTGAAGTGCCCCATAATTTAAGCATCCAATCTTTACAACAATCCTCAAGAAACTGTTTTACACATGAGACTACTACAGCAAGGGCCTGAGTCTGAAACATTCTACTCTATTTAACAGAGTCGGCAGTTTCAGTGAAAATATGATCAAGTAAATATAGACTGGCTAGCTAAATTAAGATGACATAATAGTCATTGGCCAAGCAACTCTGAGCAAGTATTTTTTCTAGTTTACCACAAAAACCAAATTCTTATGAAATTCAGGTAATTTATTAAATGAGCTGGTTATTTATATAACAGGAGACTATGAGAAAGGGCTACAAAAAACATTAGGCCTAAAGACCAAATAAGTAGCCCCTAGAGCAATAGCATAAAATAGTGGAAAGCATAAAAAAGTTTCTTTCTTTTTTTTTTTTTTTGAGACAGAGCCTCAAGCTATCCCTGTGGGTAGAGTGCAGTGGCATCACAGCTCACAGCAACCTCCAACTCCTGGGCTCAAGCGAGTCTCCTGCTTTAGCCTCCCAAGTAGCTGGGACCACAGGCATCTTCCACAACGCCCGGCTATTTTTTGGTTACAGCTGTCATTGTTTTGGCGGGCCCAGGCTGGATTCGAACCTGCCATCTTAGGTGTATGTGGCTGGCGCCTTAGCCACTTGAGCCACAGGTGCTGAGCCCATAAAAATGTTTCTGATTCCATTACCTAACATATGTGCTCTTTAGAAGAATTGCTTTGCTTTGTGAATTCCTGCTTGATAACTACATTCTCTTATTGACACATAATACCCGCACACATCTACAGGGTAAAACAAGTGATATTCTGACACATGTGTGATCATCATATTGGAAATTATAATCATCAAATCAGGATTTTTAGGAGATCTTTCATGTCAAACATTTATCATTTCACTGGGTTGGGAACACTACAAACCTTTACTTCTAGCTATTTTGGGGTGGCTTTTTTTAAGACAGAATTTCACTCTATTGCCCAGGCTGGAGTATAGTGGTACCATCATCGTTCTGGGCAGCCTTGAAGTCTTGGGAGCAACCAATCCTCCAGCCCCAGGCTTCCTGAGTAGCTGGGAGTGTAAATGTGCAGCATGAGGCCCAGTTGACTTTTTTTTAATTTTTAGTAAAGAAGGCGTTATCACTATGTTGCCCAGACATATCTTGAACTCATGGCCTCAAGCAATCCTCCCACTCTGGCCTCCCAGAGTGCTAGGATTACAGGCACTAGCTAGCTATTTTTAAATATAAGACAAATTACTGTCAGCTACAGTTACCCTACTGTGCTACTGAATATTAGAACTTTTACCTAATCATAAAGTTATACTCATTAATCTATCTCTCTTCATCCCCTTGGCCCCCCTTCCCAACCTCTCTGGTAACAATCAGTCTACTTTCTATCTCAAACTAAATTCATTTTTGAACGGTATTCCACAGAGTTTTTAAGAGTTGAAAAAAACACAGGACTCTTTTAGGAAACTCCAGTTTTCCAGGGCTCCTACCAATCTTATATAACATGTCCATGTGCAGTGACACCTGGACCATTTCACTTATTTGTGTCGTCTCCTTGGCACTCGCTGGCATTTTAGTTTGTGATGTCTGATCTACAGTCAACAAAGTACCAAACAATTCAACCCAATAATTTTAATGAAATACAGAAAAATGTATGAACTGAAATGACCTGGTATTTACTTAACTAGCCCACTGAACTTTCCCTAGAAATATTACTGAATGGAGAGAACATACCTACCCAACCACAATTTTATCAACTACAAGGTATAGAAAAAAAGGAGTAACAGAGAAAAATTATATTACATTAAAATCCTAAGTAGACGTGTGATTAAACATGTCTATGCCAGCTATGTGTGATTAAACTAATTTTACATACATACCACCAGTTGCTGCTGCAGGTAAAAAGGACATATTATCAAGTAAGGCCTTCAACAAAACAGATCCAAATCCTGGCTGGTATGGGTCACACTTGCCATTACTGAAAACATTTTAAAAGAAAATTTTAGAGACATTTCTCAAGGTCTATAATCAACCCTAAACCTGCTGTAGCACTTAAAAATCTTAAAAATGTATTTATACTGATTAGAAAAATCTGCCCTAAAGCCCTAGTCTACCAAAAGAGAGAAGGAAGTGATCAGGCTAAGGGTCTTTCTAACTATTTTCTTAAGCATTAAACCATTATCTTTACTAAAAGGGCTAACAAGCAGGTATAGCCACTACTGACCATTAGCTAATCTTAAACACTTCCTAAATACAACAGGAAGTAGGAACCCTAGGTTCAGTTACCTCAGGTCAAATGTGGGCCAAAAACAAGTATGGTACAGCAAGATTTTTTTTTTTTTTTTTTTTAGACAGAGCCTCAAGCTATCCCCCTGGGTAGAGTTCCGTGGCATCACAGCTCACAGCAACCTCCAACTCCTGGGCTCAAGCGAGTCTCCTGCCTCTACCTCCCAAGTAGCTGGGACCACAGGTGCCCACCACAATGCCTGGCTATTTTTTGGTTGCAACTGTCATTGTTGTTTTTGGTGGGCCCAGGCTGGATTCAAATCCACCACCTTAGGTGTATGTGGCTGACGCCTTAGCCACTTGAGTGACAGGCGCCGAGCCAGTGAGATTATTTTTAACAGGGATATAACATTCATGTAACTTTCATTATAGTGTATTGTTACAGTTGCTCTATTATTTAGTTATTTTTAATCTCTTACTATGCCTAATTTATAAATTAAAATTTGCCATGGGTGTGTATGTTTAAGAAAAAACATGTATATATAGGGTTCAGTACTGTCCATAGTTTCAGCAATCCGTTGGGGGTCTCCTGGAACACATCTGTGGGTAAGGGCATAATACATTTCAAATTTCAGGGTTGAGAAAAAATGACCTACACAATGGTACAAAAGGATCAGTCAGAGTCAGGGGAAAAAAGGACACCAAGGAACAACAGGAGTGAAGTGTGGGGTGGGGCGGGGGAGTGCTCCTCACCAAGTTTTCTACGCTGCTACTAAGGAGAAATAAGGTTGAGTAGACTTATTTTATCAACAGGCTTACTTAACTGACAGTTTGCCCTAAGAACCCTAAATTCTTGCTAAGAATCTCAATAAGCCTCGTCAACTTTTAAAGTTCTCCATATACAACAATAAAGTTATAGATATATTCAGCTATGAAGCTAACCTACAAAGTATGCTTTCAACTTAAAAACACACCAACCTAATGCACAAGGCTAGAAACCGGGCACACTTGTGGGCGATACTTCGTCCTGCCTCAAAGAAGCAAACACGTACGATGTCTGAAAGACATTTTCGTGTTTTTGAAAGTAGGCTCTCATTTCCTTCCTTTGAGCTGCAAAACAATAGCAGACATTTAGACTTATCTTGAAGTTTTATAATAACATCCAAAATGCAATCAATAATGATAAGCAAAATATTAATTATTAACCTTCCAGGTCCATTTGAATGTACTCCAGCTAACCAACAGAGAGTATCCAACACAAGGCTCTGGGCATGTTCTGTGATTTGACCGTCATCTGCTTTTCTGCAAAGAGTATTAAGAAGCTTCTCATGAAAATCTGAAAACTGTAACATGGCACATCGTTGCACTCTACAGAAAAAGAAAATATAAACACATTATCAACCAAAATAGCACAATTAACTAAGGCAATCACAATCTGGTTGATCATGTCATGTTTCATTTTAAATCATGGATAAAATAATACATATGGAGTACTTTGTAGAAAATTTTTAAAAGACATGGCGTTTACAATAATGTGCTATAATATGACAGAGAATAACTACCCCCACCCTTTTTTTTGGAGATGGAGTCTCACTATATTGTCCAGGCTGGAATCAAACTACCAGACCCATGAGATCCTTGCATCTCAGCCTCAGCCTGAAACTACAAACATGTGCCAACCACATTAAGCAGAGTATAATTTCAAATCATAGTGATTTCTTTCCTCACCTATTCATGGTAGATAAAGCAGTAGAGACGCCAAGAATAAACCAATGAAGCAGAAAGACAACTCATACCCTCATTGAGATTACAATTTCTTAAGAAAAATGGAAAGGAAAAAAATTTTCAAGTAAAAGTTAGATTCTTAAATTTGTATGTGTGTTGGTATGATTTGTACTTTTATAACTATAAGAGCAGGACAATGAAATGAGATTACCTCTCCTTAGAAATTGAGGTTTTCTTAAACCGCCGAATGGTAACTGAGACCTCTTGGAGTAAGTCACAGCCTCGGAGGTTTTCAGATTTACGGGGGCCACTTGTATTTTCGTTCTTAGTATTTGTTGTTTTGTCCTAAATATATAAAAATAAATAACTGAATAAACAAACAAAACTAAATTACTATTGAAGTTGTAAAATAAAAGAAAATAATTTAATTATGACTATCAAAACATAATCTCAAGTTAAAATGATAGCTTTTACCCTTATATTCAGTAAAGGACTAACTTTACCCAGAATTACAATACAGAAAAAAAAGGCACAATCACTATTTTAAAGGCAATAACCCAGTGACTAAAGATTATAAAATCCAAAGTCCTGCGTCTACTTCTGAGCTACACCACTTATAAACTCTGAGATGGATAAGCCAGCTCCCCAACTGCTAAGGTTCACTCACTTTCAATATAAACAAATGGAGGTAACAGCACCTGCTCTGCCTACCTCAGAGTTATTTTGAGGATTAAATCAGATAAAGTACACAGAAGTCCTTGAAAAATTGGAAGACCTATACAAATATAAGATGATTGGTGTTACCAATAATGCTGCTATTGTTGCTTATGAATAATGATGACAGAGAAACAAAACCTTCAGAATTCAGGAAAATCCAAGGTCAGAAAATTATGAAGTGCTGCATGGGATACCACTAGTTGCAGACATATCGCTAAAATTACCCCCAACTTCTCTTTCTGCACCTCCCAACTTTATCCCCACACACACAAAAATAGTTGTGAGTTACTAGTAGAGGCAATAGGAAAACACTCTCCTACCTAAGGAAATAAGTATTATGGTCTAAAATAATAATGAAAGGAAGTATCTGCTAACAATTACTCCTTACTGAATATACTTTATAAAGGCTAAAGTTAATTCAAAACATCTTCTTCTTAATTACATTTTATGTTACTGCAAAGCAAAATTACAAACAAAATAAGTCTCAAGTAAAACATTGCAAAAGTGTGTCAAATCTAATTTACAATGTTTAAAACAGCATTATTACTGTTCAAAATGAAAAAAATTACATACCTTGCCTGCTGCAACTTTTGCCAAGAGTGAAGCAAGTGAGTTACCCTTGTTACTCTGGTGTTTTAGGGATGGAAGTCTTACTACAGGACGTATACCACCATTACAGATCTCATCTGTTCCTCTTTCATTCACTGCCTTGACATGGATTAAAAACGAACGATATTTTCCTCCTGCCACACCTAGAGAAGTGGCAGAGGACAGGATAAATCAATCACAAAAAAAGTCAGCCGCTATTCATCATCATAAAGCAAGCTAAATAATTACCTCTACAAAAAGTATATACCAGGCCAGAATGTTCAGGTTATATTGTTGGAGTACAATACAGTTGGACAATCTTCGTGTGTTGGTAGCAAAAAACAAAGACTACAGGAGTTATATGAATAGTGTCAGTTAGAAATATTTATTTTACTAGTTTTTATAAACTTTGGCATGTTCTTCCCCAATGACATTATTCTTTTTTTTTTTTTTTTTTTTTTGGCCAGGGCTGGGTTTGAACCTGCCACCTCCAGCATATGGGGCCGGCGTCTTACTCCTCTGAGCCACAGGCGCCGCCTGACATTATTCATTTTAATGGTAGAAAGTCTGTAAGTCTGTGAACTACCAAAAAAATTACAGAAAACAAGATACAACTGTCATTAAGGTCCATCCATACATAATTATGGTATCATTGTATGTATCCACATGGTCTTCTTAATAGATGAATATGTATGCCCACTTGGCATTAATAGGTTTAAAAGTGAAAAGAGCACAGGCTTTGGACTCACCACCTGGGTCTGCCATTATTAGGGTCAATAATGGGTCTGCCATTTATTAGGCATGTGACAAATTAGGCACATGGTTCAGCTTCTTCAAATGTAAATAAAATCAGAATAATAGTACCTACCTCAGTGTTAACTACAACACTTTGTGTCTGGCACAAAGAAAAGCACTCAAATCATTATCACGTGTAGGTACTTTATTTTGTTTTAACTAAATTGAGATCATAGTATAAAATCTACATGTAAACATACTGCAAAAAACTCCCTCAAATTAATACAACTGCCAGCAAACCAGCAGTCTAGTCTATTCCTACCTTAGCAGGTATAAAATGGTCTCAGGACTGTTTTCCACTTATCTACCTGCGTGCTGGGCTAGCACTATACTGTTATACTCTTCTTTCTGTTGTAGTACACTGTTTTGTAGTTATCTAATGAGACTCTCCCTCTCGATCTTCTGTTTCAAAATTGCTATGGCACTTCTCACCCTTTTATTATTCTTCCATAAAAATTAAGCCATCACCTTTTCCAATTCCAAAGATTTTTAAGGGGATACGATGAGGGGGGAAAAAAAAAATCTTAGTAAAATCAAATAAAATTAACACCTTTACATTATTAAGGTTTCCAGTGACATGCTATGTAATATTATCTTCCATTTCATCAAAATCAACATTTTTTCCATGTAAAAATTTAGGTTTCACACTCTCATCAAACAAAACTGAAAACCAATATGAGAAGAGATTTTATGAGCTTTTGCTCACCACTGTATCCCACTATGAAGCCTTACACATCACAGGCTCTCAACAACTTAATGAATTAGTAAGATATAGTCAAGAAAGCAATAAAACTTGCCTGTACAAAGGTCAAGGACCCCTCATCTGAAAACTCCAAATGCCCAGAATGTGAAACTCCTTGAGTACCAACATGATACTCAAAGAAAGTGTTCACTGGGGTATTCTAGATTTTGGATTTTTTTAATTAGGGATGTTAAACCAGTTAAGTATACTGCAAACATTCTGAAATCTTAAAGAAGTATGAAATGTGCAACCCTTCTGATCACAAACACTTCAGGTAAAGAATACTAGACCTGGCTTGGCGCCCACAGCACTATGGTTACAGTGCCATGGGTTCGAATCCAGCCCAGCTAAACAACAATGGCAACAACAAAAAATAGCCAGGTGTTATGTCAGGCACCTGTAGTCCCAGCTACTTGGGAGGCTGAGGCAAGAGAATCACTTAGGCCCAAGAGTCTGAAGTTGCTGTGAGTTCTGACGCTACAGCACTCTACAGAGGGCAACATAGTGGGACCCTGCCGGGGGGGTGTGGGGGGGGAAATACTAGCTAGACCTGCACCACATCTGCAACTATGTAAACATGAGTATGGAAAAAACGTTATAAAGGAAATGGACACAAATGTAAATAGTTATTGTTCAGGTAGTCAGTTATTTCTTGCCTCTTACAAGGAAGAACTCTATTATGTCAGCCTATAATCATTTCTTTGTGCTTTTCCAAAAAGCACCAAGACTCTCAATGATACAAAAAGTAAGATAAGATACCCATACAGTTATTATGAGTGGAAATGACTTCGGCTTACAGGAAACTGATGGAATTTCTAATGAAAGTCCCAAACAAAAATGTATATTTAAGATCAGTTTTCTTTAAAATCTCTGTTATAACTGTGGTATTGTTTATTCTGCTTTTGTAAAATATATTACTTCACCTTTAACAAGTTTGGGGCTTGTTAGTGTCAGCATTCCAGCATGCCCTGATAGATCAAGGCCACTAGCAAGCCACACTGGGCCACACAGAATGTCTTCTTTATGATCTTCTAAAAATGGACATAATCTAAGACCTAGAAAGAAAAATACACATTTTTCTTTTAAATCATTTTTTTAAAGCCATCTGTAGTTAGCAAATATCCATCCTATTTATACAAAATACCAAACTTAGAATGTGTTGAAATAAGAACTGTCATGCTAAGGAGCTATTATCAATTATCTGATACATTATCTTGCTTTTCATTCCCATATTATTTTACATTTCACCTTGATTTTCAAAAAATTTATAAAACCATGATCTGATTTCAAATTCTAAGAAATTAAAACAAGAATGCAAGTATTAGCGCAGCTGTGTTCACAAAGATGAGCTGAAAGTTAAAGCATATTGCCAAAGCAGAATTATAGGTTATTTTTAATCATGTCTCAAAACCAGGTTTTTGCAAGCCACAAGGAAATCTCTGCCCAACATGATGCATTTGGATCACTACTCCTTTTACTGTCATGGACAACAGCTCTGTAATTTAACTCACACTGTGATTCCTCTACATCCATGTGCTGCATTTCTTCATTCATATCAATCAAGGACGGTTTCCCATTTTGTTCCGCTTCAATGTTAAGAGCTGGAGACAAAGGAAAGGTGATCTGCCTATCTACTGCTGTTTCTAGAGGATAAAAATATTAGTAAACTTAATTTTGCTTAGTATCAATAATTTATGTGCCTACAAATCTATAATTTGCTGTAACTTGGGGAACTGCTGTGACTTACATCACAGGTGCTATAAAATGGCAGTCAGGAGATGAAGAAATATGATTCAATTACTTGGTTGATGCATTCGTCTCTCTTTTAATGGTAATCAGATTTCATGTGAAGAAATTATTTACTGGCAAATAAACTAAAAGTTCTTACCCTGGCTACACAGTCTAAGCACTTGCAGAGTTTTAAATACACCAAAGGCTAAGTAAGTCCTAGACTCAAGTCATAATCTGTCATGATTGAAAAGAAAACATGCGCGCGTGCGCGCACACACACACACACACACACACACACACACACACCAAACATACACATGCTCATTCGTTGGTATCTGTGGGGAACTAGTTTTAAGACGCCCCAGGATACCAAAATCCATGGATGTTCAAGTCCCTTATATAAAACAGTGTAGTATTTGCACATAACATACACACATTCTCCCATAGTCTTTAAATACTCTCTGGATTATTCATAATACCTAATACAAATAAACACTGTGACAGTATTGCTGTACCATATTTTTACTGTAATATTGCTTTTTATTGATTTTTTTCCTCAAATATATACAATCTGTGGTTAGTTGAACTGTCAGATACAAACCTATAGATACCAAGGACCAAACGTAACTTTTTTTTTTTTTTTACTTTTTGGAGATAATGTCTTGTTCTATTGTCCCAGGTAGAGTGCAGGGGCATCACTGCAATCTCAAACTCTTGGGCTAACATGATCCTCCGGCCTTAGCCTCTCCAATAGCTGGGACTACAGACACAAGTCAACACCTGGCTAATTTTTCTTTCATAGTAGAGACAGGATCTGCTCTTGCTCAGGCTGATCTCAAACTCCCATCAAGCAATGCCTGGCCTCCCAGAGTGCTAGGATTACAGGCATTAGCCACCACACCTGGCCAATATGCAATTTTGGACTCAGGAAATTTTTCAGATTTCAGTGCTTGAAACCCTGGTGTTTATGTGCCATTTTACCCTGAAATTATCCCCAGTCTTTTAAACAAACCTATTAAAAAGAGAATACTTGAGAGGCAACATCTATTTCTAACATTCAAATGTGTACAATCTATTTCAATAACTCAGTATATCCAATTCTCAACTTGTATAAAGATAAAGAAAAATGGGTGTATTCCAGCATTACATGAAAGGTCGGTTTCACCAATGACCCAGACTGTGTAACGTCCATAACAGTTCTTTTTACAGTCAAGTCTCCTCTTAGGAAAAGAAATGCACAAACTTGGTAATACTAAAAGTGAAGTTAATTCAAAAAGGAACTAATCCACTTCCCAAAAAATATGATCATGGTATTATTCAAATTTATGCAACTCTGAACATTACTGGTTTACTGAAAAGCTCCAAAATGTTCTGAGTTACTTTTCCAAATAAAATCACAAACCGTAGAGCAGGTAAATAGCAATGGGGCCAGGAAAGGACATCAAACCTAGACAGCCAAGTTGAAAATTAGTATTTTCCAGAAACAACATAAAATCTTCAAACATAAATTTTGGTCTGTTCTTACCATTGACTTTCCCTAAGCCTGGAGCTTTGTTTTTCAGCAGGGTCACTTGTATCTGTGGAATATTGGTGATATTTGAGTTCAAAACAAATTTGAAGTCCACATGTCCAACCATACAAGCTTTAGGTAGTACCAATTCAAACACGTGTTCATCCCAGCTATTGCTGTCAAACAAAGAGAAAAATGTTAAATAAAGCAAAAATATGTCTTCAACCTTAACCATATTATCATTAACGGCATCTTTCCTGCTTTTTGGTTTGTAGCTTCTAAGAAAACTAAATGTTTTTCAGTGGGATCAAGAGGAAGATAAGCAGCTCCCAATGGAGAAGGTCAAATGTAGGGTAACGAATGTTTTTACTTTAGGAATCTACATGTGCATTGAAATTTGTACATACCAATAAACCTGTGTTCTTCAAAGCATGGGATTACCTGCAGATACCCTGGACTCTACCTTAAACCTATGAGTGAAGTCCCAGAAGCTTCATTTTAAAACAAGAATTTCTTATATTCTTTTATGTATTCATTCTTGGGTTGTAGATTCTACATACATGTTGGAAAATAAAAATCCCCCAAACCAAACTCCTCCGCTAAATTTAAGGTTGATAACCAACTGTCTACCAACATCTCAAATTTTTCATGACAAAGAAACAAACTTAAATCTAAACTGAACAAAAATTTCATTTTTCTGTTGGCTCAACACAAAACCTCAGAATCATCATTGACTCTTCATTCACACAGTATGGTCAATGTATCAGCAAATTCCATACTCTACTTCCAAATTATATCCAGAATCCAACCATTCTCTTCACTACTTCCATCACCAACACAGTGGTCCAACCTAACATCAGCCTTATACCTGGAGCAACCGAACTAGAATCCTTGCTTCTACCACTGCCCTCCACCACAACCACTGTAATTCTCAACACAGTAGTCACAGTAATCCTTCTAAATAAACCATACCATGTTACTTTGTAATCAAAACCCTCCACAACACCTTCCCATTTCATGTAATCATAAAAGTATTTTGCTACATCCTACAAAAACATTCCAGATCTGGCTCCTAGCGATCTCCTTTCACCTCTCTTCTACCACTCCCCCCTAACTTACTGTACTTAATAGTCTTTCTTTCCCTAAAACTCATCACATATAATCTTTTTTTTTTAAACGTTTTTCTTTTATTTTATTTATTTATTTTTTTTTT